CCCCCCCCCCCCCCCACCCTCCCAGAGAAGAGGGGAGTCGAATCGGGGAAGGAACCCTCGAATTGGGGAAGGAACACAAAGAGACTCGAAAAACCGGACATAAAAGCTCTCTCTTTCTCTCTCTCTCTCTCTCTCTCTCTCTCTCTCTCTCTCTCTCTCTCATATTTTACACTTTGGTCATCATTGGCTGTGTGTTATGCCACTCACTATCAGTGGAGGTGCAACTCATGTCCCCTCCAACACCATCGCCCACCTCCCTCCCCACCCTGGCCTTGTTCCATCCCCAACCCCCCTCGATCCACGTCCGACCCCCTTCTTCTCCTTTTCACGGCCTTGCGCACAAACTTTTTTCGTCTCTCTCTCTGCCCACACATTTGTCCACGGTGTGCGCAATGAACTCAAGGTCAAAATCATCATCTGTTGTAGTCATGTTATTGGCGTCTCCCCTCTGCACAACAGGCAACCCAGCTCTGTACAATGCGACGGCCTTGTCTGCAACAGAAACAGCACGGTCGAGCTTGAAGATAGAAAACCTTAAGACCGTGTCTCGGGAGCGGACCGATGCAGCGATCTCTTTCTTGATAGCTGCAAGTTTCTCTATTTGGTCCGCTGCTTCATTGGTCTTTGTCGTCTGCTCGACTTCACTTTTCAGTACTAGCTCCGCAAATGCTAGGTACTGCAACGTTACGCCAATGTTGATGCCATCTCTTCTCATTTGAAAAACTTTTGTCAGTGCTGTCTTGAAAGGAATAGTGCCCCACGGATCATTGCCGCTCCTTCTCCATGTTGTGTTCCCCTTCATCTCTGCCCGCATCCTATTGCAAGTCGGAAGCTGGTGTTCCGTTTGAGCTGACCGGACCAGCGACAGACCTTTTTCGGCCTAAAACCAATGCTTCAATTGCCATGATATCTCGCCTCGGACCGTTGTCATAATCCGATTGCATTCCCCAATCACAGCTCGAATTCCGTTCACTGCCACGTGCAACCGTAGTCCTTCCTCCGCATGTTCTCCTATCAATTTGACAGTTGTTTGCAGTGCCGTAAAAAAATTGTCCTCCGATGGGTACAGCGTCGTATTCTTTGCTGCAGAAAAAGCAAAGGCCTTCGCCACTGAACGAAACAGTTTGTCTTTCATTTTCCTTGTAAAACCCCCGGTTTGTTGCTCTGTTGGTTCGCCAGCATTACCTCCACCTGTGCTGCTTCGCCTTTGAAAATTAGTGCAATCTGGGGAAGAAAAAAAAAAGAAGACCAACAGATTAATGATTTAGTAATAAGAAGACCCTCCGCGATATGTGTTTTATGTATTGCAATCAGGAACAAACATAAGACCGTCGCTCCTCCTCCCCGATCCACCCCCGAACACACTTCGTAACCCCCTCCCACCCCCAACCCCTCCCCCCAGCCCCTCCCCCCCCCTGGCTCAATGAAACTGGTCGTTTCTGCAGCACGAAAAACGATTGTGCTGTGCACACATAGTGGTGTCTTTATAAGGCGCCCTTCATCTTACCCTGTAGCGGTACATTCTCCCTCTGCACAATTTGTTTGTCATTCGATGAAGTCTTTAGTGCGCCTGCCTTTTTTTCATCACTTCCACATTTTGCACTGTTTTCAGCAGATGTATTCTCTCTTTATTTGTCTTCACTGTTGCCTTCCTCTTCCTCTTCGGCCTCCTCGGATCTGTCCATGTTGTCGCCAGTGCTATCTCCCTCCGGATTGCTCTCCTCTGCATCGACATCATGGTCAGCATCAGTGTCGTCACCTTCTCCTCGCTCTTGCATTCTCTCATGTTCTACTTCTTCTAACATTGCTTCGCTGGAGTCTTCTTCTTCGCCTTCCTCCTGAGCGGTGGTTCGTAAATCGTATGACCCTCTGAGGTCGATTGCTTCAGGAGTCATGTCTCTTCTGTAAATTATACTCTTCTTTGTCCTCTGTTGTTGCAGTTGTGCTTTTTTTTCTCGTCTTTTCTTCTCTGGTGCTCTTGGGGGCTGCCTCTCACTGTCGCCGTGTCTCTTCCGCCGCAGAGGACTCGCGACAGGTGATTTGTTGTGTTCGACCAGTTTCCCCCTGTGTTTTTTTCGCGGCGGGTCAGAGAGCACTGCTTCTGTCCTACGGACTATGTTTGTCTTCTGTTTCTTGAATTGAGGAATATCCCTTATGCTATGTCTTTGCTTGACTGTCTTCTTGTCTTCCTTTGCTGCCCTCTCCCCCTTCTCACTCCTCCCCGTGGACTTCAAGGACTTGCACAGATCCTCGTACCTTGGCTTCGGAGCCATTCTCTTCAGCCTTATGAAAAGCTTCTGATATGCACGAATTCACAAACACTCACGTTAGACATGGAATGATTTTGGCACATGGAACGATCATTTGTCATCCGCCACCATACGCGAGATTTTCACACGCAGAGAGAGAGAGAGAGAGAGAGAGACAGAGAGAGAGAGAGAGAGAGAGAGAGAGAGAGAGAGAGAGAGA